AGGTAAGATTCTTGAAATAAGAAAAAATTGAGTCAAATCAAGTATTTCAAGAATCTTACCAAGTAAAATTTTCTGACTCCATTGGCAGAAATTTTGACTTAATTGAGTCAAATTTTCAGACTAACAAGACAAATAATCTTACACATTCTGAAAACAAGATTATTATTCTTACACAATCAGTTCTTGTTTAGTAAATCAGTCTCGAAACAAGATCAAAAAGACTTTTTGGCTGGTTATAAGATTTTAAAACTTGGTAAGATGGACAGTTTTTGCAGTGTAGCTCGTAAAGACAGCTCCATTGTTGTTGTGTTTTTTAGGGCACAAAGTGACAGTTTCTGTAAAGCTTCATACGTCTTATCTGACCGTCAGTGGAGCTTTTTGAATCTCCACTTTGAAAAGTGTTTTTATTAGAAACGTCTGCTTTTTACTGTCAATTTGTGTGCAGAGTGTGAATGCAGCAGAGAATCTGTTTTTAAAAAACATCTGAAGAGGTGTAGAAGGGGGCCTTTAACAACTTGTGAATAATCAGTAATCCCTCTCTACCCTCCACTCTCTGAGGTTTGTCAATGCAATTAATGTTTCAGCCGTTACACGAAGAAAGAGCAGTTTTTAGGTACAACATGAAATAAACAACCGCTCCAGGCACACTGTTTTATTGAATGCTGGGTATGGACTGATTTTTTTTCCCAAACATGCTGCCAGGAGCAGAGAATGCTGCGCGAGGCACTTTGCTGACATGCACTTGAGAAATTTATGCAGTTTTTGTTGTTATCCCCAAGATGTAAATCTGTCCGTAAATCTGCAGCGGGCAGCTACTTTAACGGCTGAGATCTTATCTTAAATAAAAATCAGAAAGCAATTTTTTTTTTCCCCTCAGGAAATATCAACGGCGCAACACAGCTGTGCTCGGACACGAGGCGTATCAAAGCCATCCGTTTGCACCTGAACAGCAGCTACAGCGGGGAGGGGCCCGCAGAGGAGACGTGTGCGTCGAGAAGAAGGTGTGCAGCTCAGTTTAGGTTTTATCCATTTCAGCCACCTCAGCGTAGGTCGTGGTCCTTCACTAAAATGAACGTGGCATTCTGAGAGAAAAACAATAAGCCTTAATGGGAGGTGGTGGACACAATGATTTTATTTCATCTAGCACATGTGTGTGAGGTCATGGTGGGGGGGTTGCTGAGGAAGAGTTTTGAGGTGGCGCCTCAAGTTGATTTGCAAAAGGTCGATCTGTTTCAACCAAACAAGAGCTTGAGGGAAAACATGGAACAGGTGGTTATCGCTGCAGTGGAGCAGGGCTTTATAAAACGGTTGCTGAATGCTGAACGGCAATGTCCTTCTGCTGCGTGCTCAGAATGACAGGCAACATGTAAACATCTACCTCCTTATTGCTAACCTAGCACAACAAGTGCTCATTTTATTTTAACGTGAGCTAAAATGTGGCAACAGAGGTTTTATATCCAGATTTCATGTTTTTGATTTGAACTTTTGTGTATGTTTATCATCTATGATCGATAGCCTCTAAATCAGGGGTGCCCAAACATTTTTTCTGAGAGGGCCAAAATTAAAATCAATCTGAGGGCCACGGGCCAGATGCAATATTAATAAGAAATGCAAATACTTCTTAAGTAAAGTTGTTTTATTTTTTATTATTAAGCTAGCAGCCAGAGTGGTTGCCCACACTCTTTTTTTTTTTTGCCCATAAACATGGAGAAAATTCAAAGTATGCTCAGAGAGCAAAGGCTCATGGGACTTTTCATAAATTAAAATTTGAGAATATGCGGTCTTATAAGGTGTGCAAATCTAGGTATGTGCTTAAATCTAATCTAAACGTCTTTTGTAGTTACTTGTATTTTATATTTAATCTTAACATAATTACAATCTAGTAACCAGGACAACTGCTGGTGGGCCAAATCAAATGGCCTGGCGGGCCAATTTTGGCCCGCTGGCCCCACTTTGGACACCTCTGCTCTAAATACATTCACTACCAGATGTCCACCCCATAATTTATGATAAATAAGCCAAATCAGCAGAATCATGTTTTGCTGCGAACAGTTGAGTCTACAGACGGGGACAACGTTTGAGTGTTGGGGCTAAAATCATGAGATGTGCTTAAACGTTCCAAATGTCAATTTTCATATTTGATCACCAGTTTTAGTTGTTAACAAGTGCAAAGAGTATTTTCTGTTCTTGCAATTGTCACAAAAACCCTGACGGATACGAGTTACATTTCCCACAAACAATCTTTTGGTGATGCAGAACTTGTGCCAAAAGCACAATTCAAATAAAATAAACATCGAAAAACGGTGCATTTTGACAGCTATTATGACTATTACGACTAAAAAAAAGCATCTTCAGAGGAAAGCTGAACAAGGTTTTCACCAAAGGCAGCAGCCGTGGATTGTGTGAGCCCAGAATAAAGATCACAGAGGGGCAAAGCATGTAACAGGGAAACAGTGAGAGTGCAACATCAGGAAAGAACCAATTGAGATCCTGTGGCTCCGGGGAAGATTTTGTTTTGCTGGTGTAGAGAGTGAGGCAAACACAGACCAATTTACTACGAGGGAAAATTGTGTTGGTTGAAAAAAAAGGAAGAAAGTAAAAGTGGACTTGGCCCTTTCTTCACTACGCAGTCTGAGGCCTTGCAGAAGTGTCAACAGACTGCTTCCTGAAACATACAGCTCCACTCACAAACTGATGAAATAAGAAACTACATTTAAAAACAAAACGTATGGACTGAATAATAAATTTTCAAGGCAACAATGACCTCTAACACTTTGTGGAAACATTTACAGAACAAGAAATCCCCTCCCCCACTCCCCTTTTGTAGCAACACTATCAGTTAGGGGTGTAACGGTACGTACAAGTCAATTTGGTGGAGAACTAGGCTTTTCAGTCATGGCCTGACACTGACTTGCTCCAATGGGAAATAATGTGACCAATAATCAACTGCTTTTATTTGTTAGCATGTACAACTGTACACAAATAAACTAGATATGTTTGCTCTCTTTCTACCAATTTGAAGAATACAAAGTTTGATATGCTCCGAAACTACAATGTAGAAATAAAGAGAAAAAGGTTGTTTCAAACAAACTGACTCATAATAGACCTTACAAACCTGAACAAAACAAAAACAAGTAGTGTTTGATTAAATTATTTTGACCTCAGCTTATTGAAAAATAACTATCTAATATAAAATACACAATGAATAAGTTAAACACTCAAACCTACTTCTCAGCAAGTAAGTGTAGAATACGTTTGATATTTGGGATTGAGGGAAAATTTGTAACTGATCAACTAAACGTTCGATCCAATATTGTTATTTTACACATTCTGATCATTGCAGCCAATATGGTTTAATCAGAGGCAGAGTGTGTGTGTGTGTGTGTGTGTATGTGTGTGTGTGTGTGTGTCTTATCATGAGTCTTGCTGTTGCTTAAACAAAAGTTGGTTATGCTAATGTCTGACATAAAAGGTAAGACCTCCAGGGACGTAACCAGGAGGAGACATATGTTATAAAGCTGATTATGAGGGTTTTACACTGTAAAAACTGTCCATCTAACCAAAGTTTTAAAATCTTATATCCAGCCAAAATGTCTTTTTGATCTCGTTTTGAGACTGATTTACTAAACAAGAACTGATTGTGTAAGAATCATAATCTTCTTTTCAGAATGTGTAAGATTATTTGTCTTGTTAGTCAGAAAATTTGACTCAAATTAAGTCAAAAATTTAAAAAATACTTGATTTGACTCATTTTTTTTCTTATTTCAAGAATTTTACCATTTCTTACTCCATTGGCTGAAATGTTTGACTTAATTTGAGTCAAATTTTCTGACGAAGAAGACAAATAATCTTACACATTCTGAAAACAAGATAATTATTTTTAATCAGTTCTTCTTTAGTAAATCAGTCTTAAAACAAGATCAAAAAGACTTTTTGGCTGGATAGAAGATTTTAAAACTTGGTAAGATGGACAGTTTTTGCAGTGTAGAAGCTGTTGAGTTTTGTAAGTCTCTGCTTTATTTGGCTAATTTGGCCTTACGCTGAGGCCTGACTGCTGCCCACACTGCCGTTGAGCTGAACGGAGTCGGATTGGGAATAAAGCCTTTTTAGAAGTTTTTCAACAGTTTTCTGCTACATTATTCAGACTTCCATTTATTGATCACAAATTCCCTTCAGGATATTAAGATAAATACACAGCCTGCCACAGAACATGCCAAAGTGATGATTATATGACATAATTGCTTACCATACTTCCTGCAGTCATCTGTAATCAATCGGTGCCTGTGTAGTTTTTCCACAAAGTTCAGATTTGTAAGTTTCAGCATGTTATTCTGAACCAGCAGTCATTCATGCTGGGTTATATTATTGGTAAATTATCTTTCCTTGGTTCTTTTTCATCATGGCTGTCACCAAAACATAGTTAAACACATCTAGATGGAAGCAGTGATTACCTGGGAGTTTAGTACTTTAACATTTTTGTGCCATACAACTGAATTGTCATGGTTCAGTACAAATATGTACCCTAGTGATTATGTTTCCTTCTGTCTGGTTGCATGTACAAGACCATAGTATCTGTACCACAATGGTTCAGTTTTATTATATGTACCATTACACCCCTTTTATTAGTACAGGAAGAAATAAAATACCTTTGGCTGAATAGTGTTTTCAAGAAAAACAAAAACAAAACAAACAAAAAAACAAATTAAACTTTGATTTTAAATAATTCAACGTTTAAAATATTTGACAAATAAAATTAAGTAAACCAGTCAGTAAACTGTCATTAGATCAGAAAAGTAGACAGCCAATATGTTTTTTAATTCTTACAAACATGTTCCTGGAGAGCCAACAGAAACATTCAAAAATATTTCTGTCACTGATGACTTTTGTCACCATAATAAGGCTGACATCTGTTTCCTAGTAAGGTAACACAATTGCTGTTCAATGATGAAAAAATAACAAAACAAAAACCACTAAATATGTTATTATTCTTTGTCTTCTGATGTGAGCTGAACAGTCCTTAAAACTATCATAAAGATGGTCCACCAAGGGTATAATGTTAAGGTATAAAAAAGACAAATTTGACAAAACGAATTTCAATAAATACATATAAAATGAATAAATAAACAAACCAGAAAAAAACATACATCAATAAATAATCATAAAAACATAGCCTCTCTAACTTACTAGGAATTTTTTTGTATAGTCCTCATTGGCTGGGGGGTTGTGTAGTCCATAAACTTATACTTCTAATAATGAGCCATTCTTTTTGACTGGCTGTCACCACAATGCGTACACACTCAATGTCAAAGGCAATTTTGTGGTCTACATCTTGAACCTCAATATTACCATTTTTAAACTCCCCCAATGTAATGTAGGAAGAACACTGTTTCCCCTTTTTAGTCCCAACTAGTTTCTCTCCTACTTCCAGAGCCCCATGGTGAAGAACGTCATTTTGTCTGTCATCAGACCCAGTAGTAATCTTGATTTTGCTCATTTTGGTAGATTTGTTAAAAACTACAACAAAGAAATCTCCAGTGGAGGGAGGTTTCCCCCAGAAGTATTCGTCTACTGTGCTGTAAGCCTTAGAGGCGTCGTAGTTTTCAAAGACGTTGATGTTTGTATAAATGCTGGCAGGGGGGTTGTCGGGAATGTCGATAGAGTCTTCCTCAAAATCGTCATCCTTTAGTTTGTTCTCGACTCCTTTATAGGAGGAGTAGTAGCCCATGTGCTGGAACAGCGAGGGTTTGAAGCGGATCACATCCTTCTGAGCCAGCAGACCTCTGAAGTGGATGAGGAGCCAGTCACAAGGCATTTCCTGATAGAACATGAGGAGGAAATGAGCCAGCCGTGGCAGGTCTCTGGAGTGGTACAGCTTCCCGATGTAGCCCAGTTTGGAGAACTCCAGCATCACCCAGTAAGAACCTTCTCTGGAGGTGATCACCTTCTTCAGAGCCGTCAGGAAGTTCCTGGAGCAGCGCACGTCGTCCTCCAGCATCATGTAGAAGTGGGACAGGTTCGTGCAGAAGTTCAGAAGGAAAGCGTAGTCCACYTTCTGCTTGGAGCGGAACCGGACCCGGTCTTCTGGGTCATTGTAGTTCCTTTTCAACCCGTCCAGAGAAGGATAGTACTCCTCTGGGGCCTGGATGACKAGGAGGCGTCCGGCTATGATGTGGTGAGCAAACTTCCTGGTGATTTCCTGCACCAGGTTCTCACACCAGACCAGGTCAAAGTCTGCCAGATGGACCACAACCACGATCTCCTTCAGTTCTTCATAACTGGACTGATCGAAGATGGACTTGATCGTCTCCAGGAGGTAGTTCCCTCTTTTCCTCTTTACTGATGACAGTCCGATAGTGAGGAACTCTGTGAACAAAACACAAACATCTTTAACTATTATATAACACGCAGTGTGTAGTTGAAAAAGTATAAGACCTTTACCAAAAGTGCAAAAGGATAAACCAACTTGCTAGTTAGATCTATCAATGTAAAACAGACGTTTTACACGCCCTTCATCCAGTTTAACATATAGATAAGGAAGCTTGCTGAACCATTTTTCTTTTTTGTTTCATCCCAGGATCACACATTTTAGGTTTAGTTTCATTTTTTTTTTTCAAATTATGATAACAAATATGAGTCAAGTCAAAGTGAATCCAGTGTTAAACAAGACACAAAACTTACTCTTGCGGTTCAAAGGCGTTCCAGCAAGATAGCGGTATGTGACGTTAATGGTTCCAGAGAAATTACTAAGGTCTTTGAAGGTGTGAACGTATCGCTCCGAGCTCGGAGGATGGACTGATGTTTCCCTGAGCTGCCTTTTATCTCCTTCCTAGAATACAACATGAAAAGCACATTGTAACAGGAAAAAAATACATCTGGTACATAGAAAGACAGCAGGCAGATATTTTTTTTACTTCAATATGCTTTACTTGTAAAATAATATAAAAATTTCAGAGAAAAACACACATAAAAATAATAATCTTTTCAAAGAAAATGAGTGAAAATGGCTGAGCCAAACTAATGTTTGGGATGAGAGAAAATAGAAAGCCTCTATGGGGAATTTGCTGAACTGAACAAATGGACTCACTGAGAATTCAAACAACCACTTAATAATAAAATAAATAATAAGAATTGAATCCCCAAATTTTAATGACATCATCTGGATGGATGGTTTTCACTTGGGTCCACGTTATAAAAAATTAAACATGCCTCTTTTAAAAACAAGTCGTACATAAAAGGAACAACATGGGGGCATACAGTATAGGCAACACAGACATTTGGATTCAGAAGAATATTTCTTCAAACTTGCAGTTCTGACAACAAATAAAAAGAAAACCACTTTGTGCTTTCTTTTTTAAAATAATAAATAAATCAGAAAAAAAAACCATCAGCAAAAAAATCTGTTTACCAACCAGCACATAGCCATCTTCGATGTAGAGGTTTAAGAATAGGAGAAAGGTGATGAGGAAGCCGAGGAAGGGGATAGTGGATCGTTTCCTCATACACCTCATCTTTTCCAAGGATTTCCACACCAGCCTCATTTTGTCCACACTATTACTGAGATCTGCAGGAGAAATGATAAGAAAAACAGGCCTGTTTGAGATGACACTGAACAGCCAGTTTTTTAGCTTAAAGGGGACCGATTATGCAAAATTCACTTTTTAAAGGTTTTTTCTACTCAACTTTAGGTATCTACTTCTTAAAAAAATAGTCCTAGGACCAAAAAAATGCACCCAGGGGCATATTTACTGTAAGTAAATGTATTTTTAATGTATATTAACAAGTTTTATACTTCCATCATTTTGTGATGTCACAAGCCGTACGACAACCCACCGGAACCTGTGTTCAGCCCCTTACCTAGCAACCCCCGGGTGAGGCTCCACCACCTCAGTATAAAAAGCTGCACGATTGTTGTGTAATGTGCAGCTCATTTCACAACAAGCCTTGCAATAGGAATATGGGTAGAGTGTTGGACCAGAGAGTGGGAGACCAGGGTTTGAGACTGGCATGGACGCAATTTAATTTTTATTTATTTTCATTCGTTATGAACACGTTTTCTCATGTACCTCTATTGTTTAGCTTYWTAAAGCCTTGTTAAAGCCTATTTGTTTGAGTTTCTGAGGTATTTTGACCGCTGCTGCTCCCTGCTCTGGTAACAGCATGCAGAGTGAGCGCAGAGCAGAGGAGGGGGAGAAAAAAAAGAAGCTGGGACCACGACTCCGCCTCTGGGTCTCATATGGTTGTACAACAGAGCTTCTGCTATTATTAGCCATGCTAACGTAAATGCTGGCTTTGGAGGGCGGAGTTAATGTCAACAGATTTTTGGAGGGCGTTACCAACAGAGCTCATTAACATAAACAGCTCTTCTGAACGGAAGTCAGAGCAGGCAGAACTAGAAAATGGGYAATTTTATTATCTGAGAATTATTTTGTGCATTAAATTGAATGAACATGGTCTGGATAGCCCACAGACATACCATAAAATTTCTAGGACCCATAACTGGTCTCCTTTAACATGGTTACATGCATATTGAACTTTACAGCCATTCACTGTGATATTTTCTTCATGGGCAATACTACAGTCCTTCAGAAAACTTCTAATGATGTGTGAAGGGTGTAGAAGGAAGGATAATGAGCGTGGGAAACATGTAGAGCAAACAAATTCAAGCATCCCGAGAGAGAGAACTCAAAGGCCTTCCAGGACATGAAAGGTATCAGTGTACCCATCAGAAACCTGCAGACGTTCAATACAGATCTCATTTTATTCCCACTCTGTGCAGCAACAGTCCTTGCATTTTCAGTGGTTGTTTAACACAGTATGTGAGCTTAGTTTTTGTTTATTAACTATGTGAGCCTCCCTACTTCGATCAAAGAGGTCAGTCAACATTTTTCCATCCGAGTATGAATCAAAATTACAAAAGAGACTAAATGAAAATGAGTCAAAATAAATTATACAGAGCAAAATGTGACAAAACAGAGCAGCATTTTTCAATTAAATTTCAGCACAATCCATCCAAAACTGTTATCAAGCAAATATCCAAAATTGTCAAATTGTTAATTAACATAAAACAAATGTCAAATGCAGAGGTTGTACTATTATTTTTTATCTATACCTGATGTAGAAAAAAAAGGGGAACATTGTTTTTTCCTGTTTAATCTGTCTTTATTGAATGATTGTGTACCACAAAACTTCAAGGTTGCTGCTATTAAACCGTTGAATGAGAAATGTGATCATGATTCAGGAGCTCTGGCCACGATAGACTTATATGCAATGGTAAATTACCAATATTTACCATTTACCTATATGTAATTTCCCATTCATCCAAACTAAATTTAAAAAATGGCTACAAATCGATTATGATCAACTGGACTGAAATATTTTGTAAAAGGAGTTTCAGTCACTCAAGAGTTTAATGATATTCTCCTGGCCTCAGACACTGGACTTGTGTCCATACTTGTCCTGATAGATCTCAGTACCTTTGATATCCACATACAGAGGACTGAACATGATATTGACAGAAACAACTTTGAAACTGTTTAAATCATATTTGATAGATTCCAGTTTGTTAATATGAGACGTCTTCATACGCAGAGCAGAGGTGGGCAGAGTACCCAAAAGTTGAACTCAAGTAAATGTAGCAGTACTTCAATATATTTTTACACAAGTAAAAGTTAAAAAAAATGCCTTCCAAGAAATTATTCAAGTAAGAGTAAAAAGGTATTTTGATTAACTGATCATAACACATAACTTGCATTAATTTGGGTTTTTCTTTGTCTCTGTCCCCAGAAAAAATATACCTGGACCAGTCACTTTGTGTTTCTGTATTTTTTCCTTGTCCTCTTTCACCCCAAGTAATCTAGATTTAATCCAGTTTACAAACATCTTATGTTGACAAACAACAGTTGGTTTCAGTTTTATAAGGTCTGTTGGTGTAATATCTTTAAGTTTGCTTGGTTCTGAAACACAGTAAGTTGTAGAAATACATTGAAAGGTTGTGTCTTGAAACTTTTAATAAAATTTGTCTTATGATTCATGAGATATTTTTGCACAGAGTTGACCGAATTTTTTTTTAACAAAATCTACACAATTTATCGAATTTATGTTGTGAATAAGTCTAAGCTATTGCTACATCAAATCTTTGGTCAAATCTGTGAAATTTTTGTGTTTTTTAAGTCATCTGGCTGTGGTGGCCATCTTGAATCAGTTTGTCTTCGAAGGTTAATCTACTGTAGATGCATATATAATTATAAATCACTAAAAAATGTGCAATAGGTTGTCTTCAGGCCCAGGTCGCTCTTGTAATGGGAGAAAAATGGTGAAATAATGATTAAAAAATTACTGGGAGATTCCAACAAAAACTAACTATGAAATTCTGTCTAATTATTAACTAAAATAACAGATTGGTAAGTGTTTTCTGATAATGCAAAATGAATTTTATCAATACTATGCAACTAAGACTTTTAAAAAGTTGGATCTTAAACTGTCTAATTAGGACAGCCTTGGCCCATGGGCCAATTTAGTTTCTGATCCCTGGTTTACATACCGTATTCCAACTATTATTGACAGCTAAATCAGCACATAAAAGCAGTTGATAAAAAGTGTTAAGACCTTTGAGTCAGTACAAATTCATAATCAAATTTATCACAAAACCTTTACAAGTAGGACCAACTAAAGAGAAAAAGCACAAACAGCACTAACAGCTAACACACATAAACTCTGCTGGTACAGAAATGTTATCATTTCTGATTCAGCAATCAAGTGTTCAGCATGTGCTTTTGTTTTGTTGCAAAGTCTCCCGAGATGCCTAATAGAAAACAAACTACCTCTAAGCTCAGTTCGATGGCCACACACTCATCGATCACTCCCACCAAAAATCAGATTTACAGGGGATTGGACTTGTCAATACCTCTTTGTGCACACTTGAAAAGTGAATTTAACATCTCCATCTAAAGCAGCATGTCTGGGTGATTTCAAACTGAGAGTGGGTTAATATGAGTGGCCACTCTCAGTGTAAATGTGACATTAAGGGCTATCTGCTTGCGTGATTTATCAAAGAGAAAAAAGGCTCAAATGGCAAAAGAACAAGAACAGTCTTGCTTTGTTTATTTGTGTGAACTTCAGTTTGAAGGGAACAACACAACTCAGCTCTAAGGTGCCACTGTGCCACTGCCTTCACAATACTGAAATGTTCGCAGAAACAGTTCAAGATTGGACTCAAACAAAACATTTCCAGGTTTGTGTTGAATAGGCCCATTGTATGCTTCGTTAGAATTCTGAGAACTGAGCACTGCAATGGTTGGCCAAAAATAAATAAATAAATAAATAAATAAATAAATAAATAAATAAGGGAGTGATATAAAGACAGGAAAACAACTACTTATCAACATGTTGCCAGTCCACATTTAGTGCAAAAGTGAGTAATGGAAAGGTACCCTGTAACTAGTCAATTATGTTTTATCAAGACTTTTGTACCTGGATCAGCTAACCAGGATTTTAAGGTGTATAACTCATTGGATAGGTATAACTGTTTCTGTTGGGACATGTAGAAAAAGTACTATTTACGGCATAAAAAGACCCACCTGTTTGAACTGTGAAAATGATAGTGACTCAATGTCAGCAGGTGTTTGGCAAACCTAATGAATCAAATGTGTAACCTGATGATAACATTTTTTTTGTCATCAGTGTCAAGAACATCTGTAAAGCTAAGGGGGTTGCAGTAATGCTATTTATAAAACGTAACTTTTAGGCTGGACTATTTAAATTCTTTATTGTCTGTATGCCTAAAAACATTTCTCTTAATAAACCTTCAGTTGATCTAGAATGCTGCTAAATGCTCCTATCAGAACTCATATCAGAGTTATGATAAGAGTTAGAAGAAGGGGCAGACTGGCGTATCGGGAGTTTTCCCAGTGGGCCGATGGGAACAGTTCAGCAAGTTTTTTAGTTTATTTAACTTGCAAATAGTTGATATCGAAATTCTTTCTGAATAGTTATCCTAAGTAAAACTAGTGGTACTTGTAACATAGTTCGAAAACCATTGGTGTCGGTAGGTTTATTTGTTGAAATAACACTAAAAGTAAAATAAATTATGAAAATAAACAAAAACTAAACAAAAAAAATACATCTAGTAAAATGAAAGACAGAAAGAATCATGACAATCAAGTTACTGATGTCTCTGCATTAAACAACTTTCAGTTAGCTTAGTTTTTGCTCATTTTCCTGAAGAATTTTTTAAAAAAGAATGTTAAATATTCCATTTGAAAAATCTTGTTTATACATGCATGCTCACAACTGCACACAAACACAAACTGGTGTTCAGCTTCCGGGGTTTCTGACGGTAATTTAAGGTGTGTGTGTGTGTGTGTGTGTGTGTGTGTGTGTGTGTGTGTGTGTGTGTGTGTGTGTGTGTGTACATATGTAAGTATGTATGTGGATATGCATATGTGTATTAGGAGTACAACGATACAGAAAATTCACGATTCGGTTCGGTTCGATACTTTAGTCTCACGGTTCGATATTTTTTCAATACAAAAAAGAGAAATTCCCATGCCCCTTTTAATTTGT